TTCTACAAATGGGGAGCTTGTTCTACAAAGATAGGTCTAGAATATTCTCGTGTATGTGATAGACTCAGAGCCGCAAGAAAGGTTGCCGTGGAGGAGACTTTTAATCCCATCTTCACTTTGGCAAATTCCTCACTGACGACGTCGCAAGCTACCGGCATAGATATTAGACTACAATGTATGTCATTTAACAGCACTAAATCGAGTGAGACTAGGTAGGTGGCGCAGGAGGCTTCAAGCCGATGAGCATGTGAGCTAAGTCACTATGACTGGTTAATATTAGGTACCATACTCGTCATATTGTCCATATCACCACGATTAGATACTACAATATTGCTCATTTCACGAGATAAACCTATCGATATCATCCCATAAACGCCAAAGCTTTCGACATCACCACACCCCAAGTCCATTTGGTCGTGTCCTCGGATGATCGGATCAATGTTATGAGACGAGTATATTCTTCGTTACCTTAGACATAAGGTCGAATCCGCTTTTACGAGACTGCTTAAACAAAAGAGAACGTTCCTCGCCGTGAGGGATGGCCATTTACGGTAGAGAACTGGGCTTCAATGGATTGTAACGTACCTGTATGTGCGGAATATATTACGTAAATGCCGTATGGAGCATCCAATATCTACTGATGCTGACTTGATGTTCACAAGCATGCATGAGAACTACTATCGTAAGCGGTATTGTTAGAAGATAGGATGAGATGACGAGATCAATACCACTTATCAATCCTCTACGTCTATCACATATCTGTCCGGCACGAAGAAAGCGAGATAAGGTTTGGAGGCAGGAAGAGCTGCTTCTTTGACCCTCGAACCATCGATTGCTACCTGAGACCACAAGTAGGCATGAGGCTTCGGCGCTATAGAACCTAATACAGGACCATATGCAACCATATGCCAACAAGATCCCCTACTTCGACCTGCCAAATGTGCCATATGCTGCACGGAGAATCCGGGATTCTTTGGTCCATTTAGTTGCGACCGGGCCCCTGGCTAGCTCACTCTCGTATCAGTCACTTGCCGTTGTGCACTTAGTGACTAATGACTCCGAAGTGCTTCGGCCCACGAGATGGTAGACAGGTGTCCGGCGACGACCATTTAGCTTTTAGACATTCGCTTGGCCATTGTAAGTTATTCTATACAGACTTTAAACTATAATTAATGTCTGAAACTCGTCTCAATCGCTTTTTTAGGTAGTAGGAGGGGCGGAAGGATGGGCGAATATGTAACTAGGCAAAATTCAGACTTCCTAGGCTGTCTCCAGAACCAAAGGCAACTATCGGCAGGACCACACAGTCGCGTTCAGTTCTTCCGCCAAGTCCTCTCGTTCACGTTCCTATTGGATAGGAAGCTCCCGCTCTCCTTGCGGCTCTGAGTCTATCACATACACGAGAATATTCTAGACCTATCTTTGTAGAACAAGCTCCCCATTTGTAGAA